ATGCTGTTCTGTCTTTTGGGTTTTTTGAAGCTTGCATTTAGTCCATTGACGACATTCAGAACTTTGAAACCTCTTTGTTTTCCTGACTTATCAAATCTTATACAAAACCAGAAAAAATCTGGTTAGTCTGACTCTCTCTCTCTCTGTGTGTGTGTGTGTGTGTGTGTGTGTGTGTGTGTGTGTGTGTGTGTGTCTGTGTCTGTGTCTGTGTCTGTGTGTGTGTCACAAAAATTCATAATTGTCACTCAACAACACAAAAACTACTAATGTTCCTTTACTTTGCACAAATCCGTTTTAACTTTATAATTTGCACAAATCAACTTCAAATTATATTTATCAGTTGTTTTGGGGGTGAAATATGGTGTGTTCATATTTAAAACCCATGCCGTTCTGTCTTTTGGGTTTTTTGAAGCTTGCATTTAGTCCATTGACGACATTCATAACTTTGAAACCTCTTTGTTTTCCTGACTTATCAAATCTTATACAAAACCAGAAAAAATCTGGTTAGTCTGACTCTCTCTCTCTCTCTGTGTGTGTGTGTGTGTGTGTGTGTGTGTGCGTGTGCGTGTGCGTGTGCGTGTGCGTGTGCGTGTGCGTGTGCGTGTGTGTGTGTGTCTCTGAACTATTGAGATGTTGAACTTGCAGTACCTCACATTACACAGGTATTGCTCTGTTATTCAGAGGAAATTATGCAGAATCTCATCTTAACCTTTTACCAGCTGCATTGAACATGGCAAGAGTCAACATTACATCCAATGGAAGAAGGTTTGTGGTGCACTGAGTCTCTATGGAGACGCAGAAAGAGGTTGTGGGAAAGTGGATGTGAAACACCTGGTAAATCAGGTTCACCAGCACAAACACGGATTTGTAGTTTCACATTTACACGCTTTACCGTTACTGAGTATTACAGATCGCACTAAAGTTGCTCCTTTAAATGAGTGTTATTTGTTTAAATCAGCTGACAATGGCATGCTAGCTGTCAATATCACTTATGACATGAGGCTAGTTTGATATTCTGCAGATCTACCCGTCTGTAGACGAAACAATCATTTGGAAACCAATATTTTGTCAGCTATGTTTCTATATGCTCGTAAGGATGCCGTATATAGACAACACAGGCTCGTTGGAAACAAGCCTTTACTTACATTTTTGCAAAACTCCAAAAACATTCTTAATTAAATGCAGTTTCCAGCTTAAAATAAACCCTCCAATCAGGCAGCTGATGAAAACTTAGGAAGCATGTTTAGATGAATAGCTTAATCTTTCAATTATTTCCCACATGCTTTCTTAAGAGCTCGAGTCATATGTATTTGAATTTATGTTTTATGAATACACTTTGACTAGTATGCAGCGTCACATACTGTATGATGGGAAACGGAGATTTGCTCCTGCACAATGAAAAAAATATGATCTGATGCTTTTTTTATGCAAATGAGCAGTGACAATGCAAAAACTTCAAATGGGAGTGATGATGGATTATACATTGCTGTAGTTACAAAAGTATCCTCTGCAGAATATATATTTTTTAATTTGCTGAAATGCTCAGTCTTAAAGGTACAGTTCAAACAAAAATGACAATCCTGTCATTTACTTTCTTCTGAGGAACATACTGTAAAAGAAGAAGATTTGAGAAATGTTTCAGGGTTTCTTTTTACAAGTTTGTTTTTATACGAAACGCAGACAGAAAAGCCTCCCTGTAGTCGTCTGCCAAAATTTGAAAGTGAAGAATTTAAGACTTATAAGGATTGAAGTTTCATTTGAAAAACTAACCTGTTTTGCCTCTCATTTGAATTTTTGACTCTTGGGATTGACTTGCATGCAAAGGTTAAACATCAGGAGAGTATAAGAACACTTACTTGCTTACTAACAAAACACAGCTATGATAGGGTTAATCCCTAATATTTAACAACTGTTTTGACCTACTCATGGTAGTGCAGCTTTAAAATCAACCCCTTCTCTTCTAGATACTTGTATCTCATTGTTGAAGACCTTCTTCTGAGAAAGACCAAAGAGTCAGGGCACTGAGAAAGTTATTTGCTAATACGGGCTGCAGACGTGGGCTTCAGTTCGGTGTGTGGGATGATGACGCAGACGTGAAGAGCGATCATGAGTGCCGTCTCTAGTGGAACCATTCTGTTCAGTCAAGCCTGACAGAGAGAAAGAGGCCGATGAAACGAGGATTCCCCCGCTGCCTTTAACACCATCTCAGCCAGTGACATTTATACTTTACCATTTAGTTTAGGTAGAAGATGCAGGCTGTTAAAATTCAAGACTTCTCTCAATTATACTCATGATTTATCCATAAATAATTGGTTGGATTAAAAAAAAAAAGATGGAAAGAAAGAAGGAGAAAAGAAAAGTCAATTCTCTGGTTGAAAGAAAGAAAAGTCTCTATTTGGTTCAGAAATAAGAGGGAAAATAAAAAGGAAAATTGTTTCAGAAGCAAGCAAATTATAACATTTTGGTAAAAGATTAACACTTAAATCAGAACCAGCAGACAAAGATCAGTTCTATGGACAACTAGAAATGCTTCTCAGGCCATCTCCTGAAGCTGAACGGACAGTCTTGTTGGGCGATATGAACGCCAGAGTTGGGGATGATCATAATATTTTGGGGTGGGGCGAATGAATGAGAATGGTCATCAGCTACTCCAGCTCTGCTGCAGAAACAATCTCTGTATTACTGGGAGATTGCTTGGTGCCACCCAAGATCCCGTTTCAGAGCATGAACAAAAAGAGTTTGTCGTCAGAGAACTGCTGTATGCAGGTGCTGCTGCATTATGTGCATCTTCACCAGAGCAGCTGCAGATTCTGCTCGGGATGTTTTTGGGCTCAGCTTGAAAAAACGGTGAGCGAAAAGACACTTGCTGCCAACACAACACACATCACCCTCAGCTTAAAAATGTAGTTCTCGATGATGTGGAAAAGATCACTTATCTTGGATCAACCGTGACGACAAGAACGGCGCCTGAAATGCAACTTGCAAACTATGCTATCAAGTCGTCACCTTGATTTGTATAGCGCTTTATACAATACTGATTGTGTCAAAGCAGCTTCACAGTGTTAAACAGGAAAATAGTTTGTTAATAATGCAAGAAGACAACAACGGAGTCATTTTTCCAGCTAAAGTCAGTAATGTCCAGTAAATGTCTATGGCTTATTGTCACCCGCAACAGAAGCATGCCATTGTTGTAAGTGTTTTGAAATACAGCATTTTATGTCAAGAAATTAATTTCATGCATGAAATTTAAGCAGGTCGCACTAGCATGCTGCTATCAAAACATGCATTTCCCAAAAGCAAGGTTTATTGTCACCAACAAAGTTGTTTTCTGAATCCAATATAATAAATAAATAAATATGTGAAAAAAAACAACAAAAAAAACTAGCCAGTGGCACATTATAAAAAAACATATATATTATACTTTGTGCACAATGTATAGGATTTTAGGGCTTTGAGATTGCTGGAAGATGATATAGTATCCAAATAACATTTCAAATCTTTACAGAAAATAAAAAATATAGGTTTGCATTTATGTTTTAAAAACTTAGCTAGGAAAACAAATAGATTTCTTAGAAAATACTTGTCTTTTAAATTTGTGTGAGAGTTATAAAAACCAAATAAGACATCCTTAAACACCGAAGTAAAATAGCCTAAGACGGAAACACGTACAAATATACAGAATTTCTTCCAAAAGGTAGCAACATGGACACAGTCCCGAAAAAGATGATGAACAGACGCATCTTCCACGCCGCAAAAGGAGCAGGATGCATCTCAGGAAACATTTTTTTAAGATAAAGATTGACGGTGTAAAAGACATCTCTTTAACCTTATTAGTAATTAGATATTTATTAGGTAAGGACCACACTTTCTTCCAAGGAATGTCTTCAAAAGAATTACTCCAGTAAGATATTGCAGAAGGGACAGTAATTATATCTTTCTGAAAGAGCTGCCAAATCTTTCTATTCCTGGACAAAAAGCAAATCTTCCCTATTGCTGTTTCACAGGCATGTGTCCAAGAAATACAAGAGGTTAAAGAATCAGCTGAGTGGATTAAAAGTGCCAGGAATTCAACTTTTTCTTAGCCTTAGTAATTACTGGATCACAGTTTAATTTACCTCTTGCATTATCATCTTTACAAATGACTGCACTTAAATAGTTTACTTGGGACTTAACAGGAATATTGTATAAGAATGGGGCAGTGCAAGACTTTATAGGAAGAAGCTCACATTTATCTAAATTCAAAGATAGACCAGAAGTTTTAGAGAACACGTTAATAAGATCAAGAGGATAATTTTTTTAAAACAGGGTAGTGTCGTCAGCTAATTGGCGTATAAGGATGTTTATCAGCTGTATTATTCTCTAGTAATTGACTACCACTGCATCGTACTGAGGTAGTAAAGCGGCAAGTGACGGCATTGTTCGGAAACGCTCTGCTGTTTGTTTGAGAACCCTGATCACAACAGCACTGACTCGACCAATGGCGTGATTTAGGGGGCGGGACCATCGGCTTGCCTGACCAATGGCAGTGGTTGGGAAACTGGTTTGAAAACAGTTATTGTTGTAGTTCTTTTTGGTGCTACTGATGGAGCCAAAATGACTTGTTGTTTTAACCCAATGAGCTCAAGCTGATTTAGTCATGTTCCTGAATTAGTGCGTTCATGCAAATATAACTGTCAATGCACATAAAAATCTGCAAAATTCTGAAAGCCAAGCAGAAGCAAACAATACACAGGACAAAACCAGGATCCTTAAAAAATATATCTTTAATTGACTTTGAAAAAATGTCCAGATTTGAAATAAAATAGACAAAACAACACAAAATACAATAAAAACGGTTCTGAGACAGAGGGAAACAAGAAATTTGAAAAAGTCTTTCTCTTCATTCCTCTTTCATTCACAAATCTGACATCATCACAGTTTTGTGGGCAGTTACCTGCTCTATTGCGTTCCCATCAGCACATGATAAATGATGTGTCAAACCGTGGAGAGGCTGATTTTACCTGAGCTGTGATCATTTTGCTCTGCCGTTGAGGGTCTGGAAACTCGTCTCCGAAACACAGCACCACCTGAGAGCGCGGCATGGGACGGCCGTGGTGAACGAAGCCCTGCAGTTCTACAGCGAGATAAACAATGCATAATAATAAATAACAAGTAATAATAAAGTTGCATTTTATTATAGGGTATGAAACTGACAACAACAACAAAACTGTTTACCCCAAAGTAAACTGATCAAAACAATCATGATGCATGAATGCTTTTGCATTAAATACAATGCACTTTAATAATTTCATTTAAATAATAGATCATAATAATTCAAACTACAATAGAGAAATATAAGATAATATAAGAAAATTAAGCCTTTTAGGATAATTTTGCATCACTTTTTGTTTTTCATGTCAAATAAGCAAATTTTTCCCTCAAAATTGCAATGCAAGTTCTCAATGCATTTACTTTTTGTAATTATTTATCATATTTTTACTATGGCAATAAATGTTTGTATTTAGTATAAAAGGCAATCATGATGTATAAATGCTTTTGCATTAATTAAATAATTTCATTTAAACAACAGATCATAATTATTCTGAGAAGGAGATTTGCATTTGTGTTTGACGTCATTTCAATAATAGTACTGGCAGATTTTTATTTGATTCATAATTCTAAAGAAAAAGTGGTACAAAAGTGTTTAAAATCTCTGATGGGCTTTAATGTCAAACCACAATCTTTACGGTCATTACTCTTCCCATCAAAGACAAAAAAACTCCAGATTAGCAATAATGTGAGCACAAGACCCCTCATAAACTGATGACTAGCAGAGAGCTGAAATGCAAATGAACTTTAGCAGGTGCAGACGGATGGAGAGTGTGTTCATGTGTGTGACCAGAGGGTCAGGAGCTCGCTGGAAAATCCCACAATGCGAGACATTAGAGACACGTAGAAACCACACACACAGCTTAAAGAACAAGCTTTCATGTGCTCGCAGGAGAAAGGACAGGCCTTTCCCTCATTCCACAAAAGAGCTGAACACAAAACACTTCTATAGTGTGTCTACAGCTGATAAAGTTCATTCATCGAGTGAATCAAATCAAAGAGACTGTGAATCATTCACATATTAGCCGAATTCTATTAAACTGAATGTGTCCGCTTAGATAAGAATCGTTTTATGAACGATTTACAAAGATAAACGTGTTTCATGAAGGATACACACTGAAATTCATTTCATAAATAAGTCTAGATCTGTGGAAGCATCTCAATCATCTCCAACGCAAACAATCGCACGAGGTTAATCTAACCCATAGGACAAAATATACATGTGAAGCTCAATGAAATATATTTCTGAAATTTTAAATATATGTAGTTTTAACATTTATATACCAAAATGTATTTCAAAATGAATGCAAATGTGGATGGAATTAACCTATATCTAAACTAGGTTAATAATGATTTTGTTTAATTTATATATATATATATATATAGTGTTTTTTTTTGTAAAGGGCTCAATTTTATTAAAATGTTTTATATGCGTTATAGACAACAAATAAAGTTTTTCTTCAAATGTGACATATTAATGTATTTTCTTGGACTGAAATATATGGAGGGAAAACCTTATTTTGAAATGCTTTTTTTTTTTAAAACATTTATATTTTTAAAATATATTTTCAAAAATATACAAAAAATGGCAAGAAATATTTATATTGGTAGAAAATATATTTACGTAAATATATTCTGAAACATATTACAGCAAATATGTGACCCTGGAGCACAAAACCAGTCATAAGGGTCAATTTTTTCGAAATTGAGGTTTATGCATCATCTGAAAGCTGAATAAATAGGCTTTCCACTGATGTATGGTTTGTTACGATCGGACAATATTTGGCTGAGATACATATATTTACGGTAGGAAGTTTACAGAATATCTTCATGGAACATGATCTTTACTTAATATCCTAATGATTTTTGGCATAAAAGAGAAATGTATAATTGTGACCCATACAATGTATTGTTGGCTATTGCTACAAATATCCCCCAGCGACTCAACACTGCTTTTGTGCTGCAGGGTCACATTTATTTTAGGCCTTTTTTGTATATTTTGAAATTATATATTTGAAACATATTTTTTCTGCTGTATGGGCACAGCCCATGATTCTGTTCAAAAGTTCTAATTAAGTTACTTAAAGGACTTTAATCAGTCATGTGACCTTCAAAATATACCATGAATCCAAGTCAATCAGCACTTTCTAGTCACTGGAATCTCTAACCTGAGAGGAACTGCTGCGTGTCCATCAGCTTGCAGGTCTGCTCTTTCTCCAGCTTGTTGGGTTTGTCAGCATACGGGGCCAGCGGGCCCTCCCAGTACACGCGGCCCTGGCACAGGCGCTTGGCGTAAAGCCCGTCCGGAGCCAGCCACAGCAGCACGCCGCGCTCCAGAACGTTAGGCAGCTTCTCAGCCCCGCGCCGCTGCGACTGAGGGTACGGGAAGGGAAAGAGCACGGGCTCAGCCCCGCCGTACAGTCTCTCCTCGGGGCCCGGGGACGACGGGGACGAGGGTGATCCTGGAGATGAAGAGGAGGAGATTCGACAGCCTTCAGGGCTGCTGGTGGTCACCTCCTTCACCAGAGACTCGCGATAGTACAGAGAGACGTGCAGGCGGCAGTCTGTGCACCAGAGAACAGAAAACAGCTTTTAAGAATAATTTTTTCTTTTTAACTTGATGACACAATACTAGGGTGTTTTGGGTGGTTTCTAGGTGCTTTCAATAGCAGTGCTGGGTATTTTACTAAAAAAGTAATATGTGACCCTGGAGCACAAAACTAGTCATAAGGGTCAATTTTTCCAAATTTAGATTTATGTATCAGCTGAAAGCTGAATAAATAAGCTTTCCATTGATGTATGGTTTGTTAGGATATGACAATATTTGGCTGAGATACAACTATTTGAAAATCTGGAATCTGAGGGTGCAAAAAAATCTAAATATTGAGAAAATCATCTTTAAAGTTGTTCAAATGAAGTTCTTAGCAATGCATATTACTAATCAAACATTAAGTTTTGATCTATTTACGGTAGGACATTTACTAAATATCTTCATGGAACATGATCTTTACTTAATATCCTAATGATTTTTGGCATAAAAGAGAAATGTATAATTGTGACCCATACAATGTATTGTTGGCTATTGCTACAAATATCCCCCAGCGACTTAACACTGCTTCTGTGCTGCAGGGACACATTTATTACTTCTTCAGCAGTATAATTAGATTACTGTTCTCATTACTCTCTCTAAAAAGAGTTGTATTACTTATTACTAATTACAGTTTAATAATACAAGGAAAGACATGAAACGGCTCGTTTCATTCTATTGCAAGAATTATTATTCAACTGATCAAAGTATTTAAAGGGAGAGGGTTGCATTAAAACCATTCATTTTAACATCAGATATGAAATGTTGATGTTCAATCCACTGTTTTATATAGAATCGTTCTATAGTCTGTACAGTATTTAATGCAATTACATCAGAAGTAACTAATTCAGTTACAGGAAAAATGAGGAGTATCCCTTACTTTACTTTTTCGAGAGAAAAGTAATTAAATGACAGTAATTAAATACTTTGTAATGCATTACACCCAACACTGCACAATAGTTACTTCATTCATGTCCGTGGTGCAGATATTACATGCCAAGGTTTATAGCAACAGTCAGGGTTATTACAGTTAACTAAAACCAAAACCATAAAAACTTACTTCAAATGAAATAAATGTTACCTGAAAAAAATCTCAATCTAGCCGCCAAGGCAACATTTCACCTTTTCATTTAGTTTATCTTAATGTGATAACTGAATCGGAAATAGAAATGTAAAAAATAAAATGAAAAATAATATAAACAAAAGACAAAAACAAACAAGAAAATGACTAAAACTAACTCAAATGAACATAAAAATGGGAAATCTAAAAATATGAATAAACATTATAATAGTATCTCAATGATGCTAATATAACTCTGGCAGCCGTGTGCGTGAGTCGTGTTCGTGTACCTGAAATAGCCATGGCTTCGGCCGATCTTATACCGGGGTCCATTGCCACTGGATGGGTTTCTGTCGGTGAATACGTGTAGAAGGAGCCAGATATCTGATACCCTGGAAAGTGTAGATGCATTGAAATGGATTATTTTACTACTCTCAAAATTAACAATGCAATGTGACAAAGGAGCCTATAGTAAAATAAAATAATTGTCTTTCCACTTCTATCATTGCAAGAGTCAGAATCGAGACCAGACCCAGACCACGACTAGACCAGCTGAGACCAGACCACTTCAGGACTAAATCCAGACCCAGGTCTAACCCAGATAGAAATTTCGTTTTTACTTATATTTAGCAAAAGTTAATAAAGGGACTAGATGTCAGCAGAACAAAGTACGTTCTGTGACGCGTATTCATTGGTACCCCTTGAGTTTGCTCTTTTACAGAGTGAGAAGTGCCATTAATACACAAGCATTAATACAGACATGAAGGATTTCCTCTTTCTGTTTAAAGTCGGCTAACGTTGCTCGCCTTTGATAAACGCTCTTCTCAATCATTACAGGAACAAGTGAGAGCATCTATGACCAAGAATAGCTCTAGCTTCTCTGAAAATAATACGCTAAATATGGTACACAACCTTTAAATATGGGCTGCAATCGTTTTAAGTTACTTTGTTCTCCCATTTATTGACTGACAGCCTCCTGTCCCGTGTTGAGAGAAATCGGGAGTGAGTGCAGAGACTCATCCTTCAGCCTGAGGCTCATTCATTTCACTTTCAGTGTGAGAGGGTCTTTATGGTTGCCAAAAATTATAACCTTTGGGTTTTTGTTCTTAAAAACAAACAAGCAAGATCAGCCCAGGTGACAAAAAGTAACGCAAAAGTAACATTCCGTAAAAAGTAACGCAATTAGTTACTTTTTTACAGAGTTAGGTAATATTGTAATGCATTACTTTTAAAAGTAACTTTCCCCAACACTGCCTAAGATACGTAGTTGTTTGCCAAATGTGAGAGAATGGCATGAATCTAATGCTGTGCACTCAGAACGGGACACTGTGCATTATTGGAGACGCTGGAAGCAGGTACCGTTGTCACAGGCCGATGGGTGCCAAGGTAAGGAGCGCGTGGGTGGATACGGACACTGGCCATACGGTAACTCCGCGTGAGGAGCCTGAGGATGAGGCTGATCGCCGCTGTATTCCCTCCAGTCTCGTCTCTCCTGAGGCAGCATGTATCCCGGCATCTGCACAGAGACAACGGACGGGTTCTGAGACTGGACTTTATCACTGACCTTCCAGAGAAGAAGAACAGCTCCAGCTCCAGTATGCTGGAGCGCACATTAGAGTTCTTAACTAGCAGAACCAACAAGATTCACTCGGTTAACCTGCTTCACCAGTCAGGTTTCATATGGCTGTGCTGGTTCACCAGATCAGTAATAAACCAGCCGGCACTAGCTGATCTTTTCAGCCAGGCTGACTGCACACCTAGTAAAGTTAACTGAAACTAGAACTAAAATTACATTTATATTTTAAAGACTTTCATTAAAATAAAATACAGTTTTATCTCACCTGGTTGCCAAGGCAAAATTACTCATTTTCATTTTGTTTTACTTGATGCACTTCAATAACTATAACTAAAACGTAATAAAAATTAATACACAGCAATTACTAAAACTCTAACTAAACTAAAAAAAAATTCCAAAAACAAAAAATATAAAAACAAAAACTAATCCTAGATAATTTAAAAAAAACTAAAATAATACTGCTATATATATTGTGTTTGTGTATATATTATATTATATATGCCAATATTTATATTGGCATATAAAAAACCTAATAAAACAACAAAAACACGCAACATTACAAAAACTTTAATTAAACAAAAAAAATTAAAACAAAAAATATAAAGACAAAAATTTATCATAGATGATAAAAAAACTATAATATTATAACAGTAATACTAAAATAACACTGCTCTGAGTTCATAATATAGTTCTAGATATATATATATATATGTGTGTGTGTGTGTGTGTGTGTGTATATATATATATATATTTATTTATTTATATACACACACACATACATACAATTTGATGCACTAAATATATAACTTGCTTAACTTTAAAGTAGTATTTATATAGTAAAAACAGAAGAAAAAAACTATATTGGCATATAAAAAAACCTAATAAAAACAACAAAACACACAGCATTACAAAAACTTTAACCAAAATAAAAACGATAACAGAAAATATAAAAATAAAAACTAATTAAAAATATTAATAACAACTATAAAAGTATTTTGATACTACAATAACACTGTTTCACATTGAAAGCATCTGCTAGGAACAAGCAGTAAATGTAAAAGTGCTAGATATAAATGCAGTGCTAATTGGACGTCTCCCATGGAAATTCATATTTTGTAAAAATAATAATAATAATAATAATAATGTGACACCGCAAAGGGAACACATCTCACCTGAGGCTGTAGAGGAGGATACGGGGAATGCATAGGATAACTAATAGGAGCCACGTGTGTCACGCTGTCATCCATACTGCTGGACTTAGAGCCTAAAATACAAGAAAAAATATATATTCATACCATTCATATACATATATAACTGCACAAGAATATTTATGAATCTCTGGCTGCAAAGCATGCAAAAAAAAATTAATAAATAAATACATATCAACACTATTTGAGCATTTGGTTAATGATAATTGTAGCCAATAATTGATAATTGTATTTTAAGTTTAAGTTTAAGACTTAAAGCTGCTAAAGAGCAAGCCTGATCTCACGAGAAAGCGCAACTATTCTAAGAGTTGGCGATTTTTTATGAATTTGTACGATTTGATTTGTATGGAAACATACTATTTGTAGAAAAACATTAAGCATGAAGGTCCAACCCTAATCTAACCCTCAGCAGATCGCATGAAAACATACGAATGAGATCGTACGAATTCACCGCCCATTCGCCAAGACGTCAAATAGTTACGAAATGCCATGATGAGAGTGTGTTAAAAGAGCCCATGATTTGACGAGTGCACTTTTCCTTCCTTTGCTTATGCATTTATTTTGTTAAAAGAAGCTGAGGCTGGACATATCGAATAGTTCGTCATTTTTACAAATAGCCGACAAAATAGTTTACACCACAGTCACGATTAGCTATTGCTATCAGAGGCAGGTGGGAGGACATTTCCATTCTTGAGAGCATTTGATTTTGGTCAAAAGTCAGTCCAAGGTGAGCGATCAATATTTTTGGTCAGTTTTCTGTACATTTTAGTGTCTACATCTGCTTTATCCTCGAAACTAAAAGACACTGGCTACAAAAAATGCACTCATTCGTTCGCTTACAGCTCAGTTCTTGCCTCCACTTCACAGGTAGTTCACAAGCACAAATAATAGCAACTATATTAAGGTGTGAAACTACTATTCATGTCATTTTTATGAAATTACTGAAACTCGTGAACGCTTTAGGGTCACACCAGAGGTCTTCATGGCCTTGGCCCAGCATTTCGAAGCACAAGCTCGTCTTATGCAAGGTCTGATGGCTGATTTGTGTTGCTTTACTGCTGTGCACTTGGTAACCGGAGCTCTCTATAAAAAGCTTGAGGGATTTTAGCACATGTAGAGCTGGCTTCTCTCCACCAGCTCATCAAAGTCATTGCTCTTGTTCAGGGCACAGCGGAGCCTCGTCTTCCACGTTGGAGGGTCTGGTTTGTCCAAGCCTTCTCTGTGCTTGCCTTTGAACAGGGCCCAAGCCTACAGACCACAACACCAGCATGAAGATGAGAAGAGATGAAGAGTGAGAGAGGAAGCAGAAGAAAATGGCCATGAAGAACTGGCTCGCTTAGTAGGAACTCAGAATACTAATGCATAAAATACTTAAAGACTCTTAAAATGGACGAGCAACGTGATTCTTGTTAATAATATGATTATTGTTAATAAGGGTGCTATTATGTAATGAATAAAATGCTGTTCAGTGTGTCTGATTGACTGAATTGTCATTGCTTTTGTTTCTACTGCAACAGAATGCCAATCTATTAACATGCAATGGTCTTTCTCAGCTCAACACGAATGCATTTTCTCTGATAGGAAATTACTCCTAATAATTGATCCCACAGTAGGATCCTAACCCATGCATGCAAAAATGAGGCTTAATAATAATAATAATGCATATACATTCACACAGTTGCCCCAAAAACGTATTTGTAAACGTAAGTCACGTGAATGTCATCGCATCAGATAACGAAATATCAAACCACGTGGCTTTTCTCGGAACAAACTGCGCTTTTCTTTATAATCTTGGTTTATTACTCTGAATCAGGTGGTATTTCGGTGACTTTTAGGGGATGAGGTCAAGTTCACACAGGTGTCCGACAGAGGAAGCACAAGTGTGGTTCAGTATAATAACTATGGCATTATCCACTCATATTTTGCAACCACTTCTGTCTTCGTTTTCAACACTAGATCTATTGTTTGATCAGTTTCGTCAAACGTCTAGCTTCAAAAGCGTGCTTAGTTTATTTGAATAAAGGCACTTGGTTTGATAATACGAGTCCTAACGCTTTGTGGGGCCACAACACAGGTCTAAAGACACTCCATCATTGAAAGAGTCAGCAGAGCTCCAGCTTCATCCTCAATCACCTTGAAGAGCGCCGCGTCCTCGTCGCGGTTGTAGTCCTGCTTCCCCGCGTGCTTCCAGGGAATCCTGAAAATGGTTTTCTCGTCATTTTCCCAAACCAAGCCGGAATACTCCCCGCTGTCAATCTGATCGATGAGCCACTGTCTAAGTTTGCCATTCCCACAACTGACTGGCATGCTGCTGTCCCCATCTAAGTTCATGTCTGTGAGGGAGGGAGGCATGCGCGAGCAGGTGCACATGCAGTGAGCAGAAGAGCGATTCACAGATGAGTTCATGCATGCATATTCCGCAATAACACACACATTTATAACGTGTTCTCAAACGACAGAAAATGTTGCATTAAAAGTATGCGTTCAAAGAATGAAGCTTTCCATGCAATTTAAATGTAGTTTATTAACAGCCGCATTTTGTAAAAGGAACAAAATATAGATAGCAGGGCATCCGTAGCTTATCATGCATGAAACATAAGCTTTTTTAATAATTAAGCTGCATGCTTATACTAATTAGTTTGTTTAAATCAAGTCATATTCAGCTCAGTTGAATGTCACACCAGATCAAGGCTCTCAAGTCTTACCTTTGTGAATGCAGACAACTTGCCTTCTCTTTCAAAGCCGACACTTCTCAAGTCATGTCAGAGGTCGGTGCTTCTATTCTTAAATAATGAAAAGCGCGTTAGGTGGAGAGATGGGTGGAGCGTTACGTGGAAGCGTCTTTCTCCAGCACCATTAAACAGAGCTGAAGACTTCAGAGAAACGCGACAGAACCGCAAGAATAAACATCCAGCATACGGGAAATCCCTGCGAGACGCACAAACACACACACGGTGGAACAAATATCTGTCGATAAAATATGCCAGAAAATCTCCCGGCGCTCGTCATCACAGTGATCCTGGTGTTTGATGTTTGTTGATGTAGGTTTGTTTGCTTTGAGGACATTCACAGCTGCTGAGCGCAGAACCGCACGGGGGCCACTCGCTTATTCCCATCAGAAGGGGCCAGTGTCACAGTCATTGTGTCTTATGTGGTTTTCAACCTTCACAGAGCTTCTCGGGGTCCGTTTATCCCCCAGAATAATATCAGCAAATTGCTGAAACATGAACTCGTCAAGTATTTGATATCAAGTCACTTCAAATCTGTTACCAATCTGTTTCGAGCTCCACAGTGTTGAATCTGCTGCCCCCTGCTGTCCGACAGAGAAATAACACTGGAATTACCTTATTATCTTATTTTTCAAACTAAACATTTCTATTCTTTCTTTATGTTACTTTGACATTAAAACAGGTCCTCGGCTGATCCAGCAAGTGCTAAAGGGATATTTCAACCGAAAATGACATTTCTGTCAGTATTTACTCATCCTTAGGTTGTTCCAAACCTGTATGTGTTTCTTTCTTCTGTTGAACACAAAAGAGCATATTTTGAAGAATGTTGGTAACCAAACAGTTGCTGGTAGCCATTGACTATTGACTAATAGTATTTAATTTTTTTGCATACTATGAAATAGGGCTGGTCAGTATATATATAATATATATATTTTCTGTAAATAAGGTTGCTATGACATCTACATTTTAGAGACATTTAGAGATTCAGATAAATTTCACAATACTCAGTAATAAAAAAAAAAGCAAAGGACAAATACAATAGAAAAAAGATACAAATGGAACAAACAGAAATAATTAATAATTGAATGTAAAATAAAACAGCATAGTCTCCACTGTAAGAATTAAACTTCTTTTGTTTCTTATTAAAGCTACAAAAGTCCTTCAGTCAAGAGCAGTGAGTGATTTTCTCTTCTGTTGTTTGATTTCACGAGTTCACACTTTCTTATAATTAAATAAAGGTAATGCGTATTTGGCGTGCTGTCCGGGGAGAGGGCTCCGAGCTTGGTGTGCAGCCTGGCCCCCTCTCCCCGCTCCCGAGTGCTTCTCCCCGTGCTGGGGTAGAAACTATGCTGAAGGTGCGGGGTCGGGGGGGCGGAGGGATGCTGAAAGTCGAGAGATAACGGAGGTAGGACGTACTTGGTTATTTATAGGAGTTTTCTCTTGCGCTCAATCACTAATGATGAACTGGCCGTGTTAATTATCTGTGCGTGCTCCTCCCGAAATTTGTTTATAAACATCACTTAATGTTAAGCACACAGTCGGCAGCAGGAATATTAGGCTGCTGTCACTTTAAGAGCTGCACGGATCCAATTTACTGCTACACACCTATTTTCATTCTCAACTGTTTATGTTCATATATTGCATAACCGATGAGGGTTTATGTGAATAATCACCAAGGGCCGCATTTTGACACATTTTTGCATGTATTTGTGCGTTTACGCTCACCTTAAGCTAAAAGATGACTTTAGTGTCCGTTTTCTTTTTAGTCTCTGAGCGCGTGCACAGAAATCCTCCTGAGGAACAGCACAAGTCCTCTTTCATGCTTTTAAAACATGAATCAAGCACGTCACGTTAACATGATTTTACGGATTTGCATGTGAAATTGGGCTTTTATTGAGGAGCAAAAGCGCTGGAAAGGGGGCGGAATGGGGTGCAATAATCATTTTATCTCAAATATAAAAGCAAGTCAGAGACCATAGTAGTATAAATCAATTTTTATAATATAACTGTAAAGACTGAACAACAAAATGCAAATTTCCCTTTAACATCGCATCAGTAGTAAACAACATTAAAACCTTGAATATGTCTTATTTACAAAAAGTGTGCATAAGTTAATAAACAGTGCTGTGCCATATCAAACCCTCATCCCAGACGTCAGGAATGATCTGTGCGATCTCTCAGTTGAGCTCAAAGTCCTCGTCCGCCAGCTCGGAGGAGCTGGGAATCTGCGCCAGCAGGTTATGAACGTCCTCCTCATCATTAAAGGGGTTTTCCTTATACTCCTCCTTCAGCCACTCTCTGAACTGAACACAAATCCACAATTACCAATGAATGCATGAATCTGGATCACGCATTTACACAAACATATTAACCCTATAAAGCCTACTGTCTCATATTTGATACACACATTTTTAAGGCCTCTAATTTATCAACATGATTAACTTGTTAATAAAAACTGTTTCACACTCGATCTACTGCATGTCTTCTGTCTCTGATTGAGAGTTTAAGTCAAAGCTCTTTTAGTGTAACTGCTTCAGCTGGAGCTTCTCGTGTCAGATCTTGACTGGTTTTGATCAAGTAAAGGTCAGAATAACTGCAGTAATATCTCCAGATGAACACTTACTGGACTGAAGCAGCTCAGCTTTACTTGATTCTCCATCAATCATGTTTTAGAGTCTCAAATCTGATCCTCAGGATCTTTTGAGGAGCGTTTGTTTCCAGCAGCTTTACTTTCACTGTTCCTCAGTGGAGGAATGATCTTCACAAGATCATATATATATATATATATAGTCTAAAGGTTCAATTAACTGTTCCATTTTATAAAATGACTATTATTTTATATATCAGGCTTCACAGGGTTTATCAGAAGGGCCATTGTCATAATTTGAGGTCAGCTGAATTATAGCTGATACAATAATTTAGTCATAAACAGTGGAGGAATCACCTGCTGTAGCTGGCTGGTCTCAAACTCCTGCAGCTGGTTCTGGAAGCCCATGTTGGGTGAAGCACAAGGTCTCGCCACCTTCACCGCAGCCAGAGCCTCCTGCCATCCCAGAGTCGTGATGGTCATGACATACGCCACCACCAGCGTCACGCTACGCGACACGCCAGCCAGACTGGAGAACATCAGATCAAATGTCACATTCAGCAAATTTACTAACGTGATTTTAACATAACAGGCCGGTTGCCTTTAGAATAATTACAGGCGATTACTTATGATTGTTCATACTGTAGGTTAGTGATCAAAAACGAGCTCCTAACCCTATGCATGCAACTTAGTCGTGCAACTCGAAGTCACAAGAACATAAGATTTCAGAGAAATACTACAGACTTCATTACGTTTTTGAGAATGAACCACTTTGCCCGCAGTGGTGTTATAGTCTCACATCAAACAGAGGCTTGTGTTTACTGTTGTTTTGGGAAGTTCAAAAATAGCCCGCCCCCCCTTGACACCTAGTTATCAGCTGTTCACATGGTCACACTGGGCTCGATTAGGGCTGGTATCTGGGTTGAGTGCACATTTTGCTTCCTCTTAAAGTAGACTCGTATATATTCATGCATGGAATCATATGCATACCTAACATTGGTTCATTTACAGTGTTGATTCAATAGCCTGAGGACGTACAGTGCAAACCCTTCACTTACCAGTGAACCAGACAGCCCTCGCCTTTCAGTCGGGACTCGTGCATGAATTTAATGCTCTTCTTAAAATGCTGAATGCTGCGGAGGGGAAAGAAACAGATTATGTCAACTTCATGCAATTCTGTAGAGAGAATCAATGTGAAGGATGCTGCATTGAAATCTGTGCTGATCAGCTGGCCTCCATCTACACACAGATCTTCAACAGATGTGCGAAGTCCCTTCCTGCTTCAATGCTCCACCATCATCTCCATTCCAAAGAAACCCAAAATCACAGGACTTAATGACTACAGACCTGTGGCTTTAACGTCTGTGTTCATGAAGTCGTTTCAAAGGCTTATCTAAAGGATATCACTGGACCCTTACTGGACCCTCTGCAGTTTGCTTAACGAGCAAACAGGTCTGTGGATGATGCAGTCAACATGGGACTGCATTATATCCTACAACATCTGGACAAATCAGGGGCTTATGTGAGGATCCTGTTTGTGGACTTCAGTTCGGCTTTCAACACCATAATTCCAACAGCCCTCCAGATCAAACTGACCCAGCTCTCTGTCCCTAGCTCCATCTGTCAGTGGATCAGCAGCTTTCTGCCAGATAGACAACAGCTAGTGAGAATTGGTCAATTCAAATCCAGCACCTGCACCATCAGCACTGGTGCCCCCCAGGGATATGTCCTCTCCCCACTGCTCTTCTCCCTCTACACCAACGATTGCACCTCTACTGACCCCTCTGTCAAGCTCCTGAAGTTTGCAGACGACACTACAGTCATCGGCCTCATCCAGAACGGAGACGAGTCTGCTTACAGACAGGAGGTTAAAGAGCTGGCTGTCTGGTGCAGTCTTAACAACCTGGAGCTCAACACGCTCAAAACAGTGGAGATGATCGTGGACTTCAATACACAACACTATTTATACAATTATTTATTTAACACACCATGCTTCTTATTCGCATTTCCTTGCATTTGTACATATCATACCTGTACACACAAATACCATGTTGTCTATTTTTGTATATTTTCAAATATTTGTTGTATATTATTATTTCCTATTTACTTATTCTATGTTTACTATATGTGTCTTTTTACTGTAATCTGCTTGTGCTGTGGAAGCTTCTGTCACCTAAACAAATTCCTCGTATGT